ATTTAATTCATTTGTTTGTTTATTTTAATTTGACCAGAGAGGGACAGAGTGAGAGGAAGAGAGAGAGAAAAAGTGAGAAAGCAAGCAGCCAGGTCCAGGACTTGAATTGCAGTAGGCCATGTGGGAGTCCAGCACCCTTAACTCTCATGCCACCTGCTGATCCCTAGATACATATTTTTTAATTGTTTCAGGGTCAGCAGGTAATGTGGTGATTAAAGACACTGGATTACCACATGACCGACCGCAGTTCGAGTCCCAGACCTGGTGACTTGCTTTCTTGCTTTCCCTTTCTCTGTCTCTCTCTGGTTTAAATTTAAAAATAATAACAACAACAAATGGAACTAAATAAATAAATAATTCTTTTTTGAAGATTATTGTTTCACTTAGTTGTATGTGAACGCAGTTCCCTGGATGAAAGGTACTAAGTTAACTTACTACTCTGACCAGCATCAACAGCAAATCTAGAATTCTTAAAACTAAACACTGGAAAATGCCATGACAGGGGACCAACTTATAACAGTACACTTTCTCATGGTTCTCACATTTAATTCTTTTTTAAAAGAAAAATATTTATTTAATTTCATTTGTTATTAGTTTTTAATTTGACCAGAGAGAGACAGAGAAACAGAAAGGGAAAGTGGGAAAGCAGGCTGCCAGGTCCGGGACTCGAACTGTGGTCAGCCATGTGGGAGTCCGGTGCCCTTAACCACCACGCCACCTGCCGGCCCCTCACATTTAATTCTTATCATTATATAAGACTGAATGTGCTCACGGTCTCATGGCTAGATGACGTCAGAGCAAAAACTCAGGTTCCACTGAAGACTATGACATTCTTTCTTGAGAACCTTAACAATTCAGTCCTGTGAGTTTACTGAGAACCTGTTATGTTCTAGCCCTGTGAACACTAAGGATATAATTGGGAATAAGATAGTAGATGGTGGGGGCAGCAGGTGGCATGGTGATTAAGGTGCTAGACTCCCACATGGCCAACCATGATTTGAGTCCCAGATCCATTGACTTGAAAATCACACTGGGCATGTATGCATGCATGCCCAAAATCCCAGAAGGAGAATGGAGGAGAAGAGATTGCAGCATGGCCATCCCCACTGGAGGGTTATTTCTTATTTTTCCTCTCTGTCTCTCTTTCTGGCAAGTGTACGCACCATATGGCAAAAATAAAGAAACCAAAAAAGATAGTAGATGGATTTCACATAAGGAAATTGAAGGGAACCCTCCCTAACTATATATTTTTTAAGTGTGTGTGTGTATTTCTGTAGCATCGTTTTCTCAAAGCTCATTTCTTTTTTGTTGTTGCTATTTGTTAAGTTTTGCTGTACGACACATGCACTTGTGGGGTGAGGGGTGGGAGAGGAAGAAAGTGAAATAGCACCCCTGGGGGGGATGACCACATTGCAGTCCCTTCTCCGTTCTTCTCTAGAGATCTTGTTTATGCATGCACACCCAACTGGGCATGTTTTTCACGCTGCCAGGTCTGGGACTCAGGCTGCAGGGTTGGCTCTGTGGGATCCAACTGCCTTCACTGCCACACTACCTGGTAGCCTCAAAACTCTTCTTTAGGAAGCCTTCTTAGTTAGGGCCCACCGGTTTCCACGGTTCCTCCATTACATTTACTTGCATGTTTTCCCTGCATTGCTTCAGATGAGCTTGTTAATTACATTCACAGCTGCCACGTGGCTTGTTCTGCTTATTCTTCCTCAGTGCCTTCACTGGGAAGGAGGGGATGCTTACTGACAGTGGACCCTCAGCATTTGCTGGATGGAGTTCAGTTTGGTTATTTACAGGTGTCTTTACATTTTTCCTGGACTAATTTTTCTTTTTAAGATTTTTGCCAAAAGACACATATATTTGCCAAAGAAAGAGAGTGAGTGGGAAAGTGAAAAATCATCCCTCGGGCGGGATGGCCATGCTGCAATCTCTTCTCCTCCATTCTCCTCTCAGGAGTTTGGACACACATGCACACACACCCAGCATGATTTTCAAGCTGCTGAGTCCAGAACTCGAAGTTGTTGGACGTGTGGGAGTCCAGCACCTTGACCACCATGCCACCTATTGGTTCCATGGACTGAATTTTAATGCACCAGATGCTACAAGGCTGATCTTACTGCAAAGCTAGCAAGTGGATATAGCCAACAGCTCAGCTGCTCGGTATCACTTGCATGCTCTCGAAGCCTTTGTTATATATACTAGGTAATTCTTGAGAGGTTCTTTACTTTTAATTTCTTTTAAAAAAAAATTATTCAAGAGGAAAAAACATTAGGTAATGTTGACAGAATACTCATTGATAGTATGGGATATAACTATAACTTCTCACCAGAGATAAGTTATAAATGTGTAAATATAAGATAGGGAAAATGCTTGAATTGTCTTGAATTCTAGGTTTCCAGCTTTTAGGGTTCTCAGAGAACTACAAGCACATGAGAATGCTAAAGATGCCCCGTATACTTTTTATTATTGTTGTTTTTAATTGACTACAGAGCATGTGTGCTTACCACAGGTAGGGGGTGAGGACCATGAGAAAACATCCAGATGTTGATCACGCTACAGTCCCTTTTCCTCCATTCTCCTTTTAGGATTTTGGGCATGCATGCACACATGCAAAACGTGTTTTTCAAGCCACTGGGTCCAGGACTCAAACCATGTAGTTGGCCATATGGTATCCAGCTGCCCCAACTACTATGCCATCTGCTAACCCACTGTACCATATACTTCTAAGGGCTTCCCCCTCCCATGTACTCATGCTAGAGTGTATGAGAGAGAGAGAGAGAGAGAGAGAGATGAGCCTCCTCCCCAGGGTCTGGTTACACCAGGATCCCCTTCCTGTAGTCCTCCAGCCCATTGGATTTTGGACACTTGTAATCATGCCCAGTGAAGACATACCATATACATAAACAATTTTCCCATCTCAAATGGGGCCTACCTCCACATTAGAAAGCCTTTGTTTAGCCCCATGGTGCTTAACCAGAGCTGTACAACAGAACCATCTGGGACTTTTTTGAGAAGTTTTTGCTATAGGGCACATGCGCTTGCCAGAGAGACAGAAAGCGAGAAATCACTCCCCAGGGGGATGGCCATGCCTCAATCCCTTCTCCTCCATTCTCCTCTTGGGGTCTTGGGCATGCATGCACATGCGCCCGGTGTGATTTTAAACCACTGAGTTCGGGACTCAAGCCACCGTCAACTACATGGGAATCAAGTGACATAACCATTGTGCCAACTGCTGGTCCCACCATCAAGGACTTTTTTAAAGTACTGTATGTAGGAAAACCCTACTCCACACCTCCTAAAGGAGACTCTCTAGCATTTAGGATCTGTACATTTTGAAAAAGTGCACAAAGTAATTCCAATGAGTGTAACCTCTGATATAAGGAGGGATTCTGAGGCCAGCCTATGGCCTGCTAGGCTGGACCCTGAATGGCTGACTGCATGGTCAGGGTCCTGAATGTGGGAGCTTGAGAAATACGTGGCCATGTGTGTGTGCAAGCCCAGAATCTTAGGAGGAGGGAGAAATGGAAGAGAAGGGGTTGCACCATGGCCATGCCCCATGGGGGATGCTTTTCATTTTCCTTCTCGTTCTCTGATTCTCTCTGGTAAGCACATGTACCCAGTGGCAATTTTTTTTTTTTTAAGCAAAAGAGAGATTCAGTGGAGAAAAGCCTCCTTTTAACAAGGTCACTCCATGCAGTCCCTCTTAGTCAGATGTGCTGTCATGCATCCTTCCTGTGGACAGCTTAGGGGGGAGTGTGTGGGCTGTCATGCTGTGCTGGTTGACAAACTGGTGGCTTCCGTGGACTGTCTGATGCTCTCACAAAGCAATGTCATTGAGTGATTTCTCTGTAGGTCAAGGATTCATTATTTATTTCATAGATTACCGGTCCCTTGTTTTTCTTCTTCCTGCCTTTGTTTTTGAAGATTTTGTTCTTTAATACTTCAAAAGAAGAAATAAATATATTCAAAACAATTGAGGTGCTTTTGTTTTGTTTTGTTTTTGAGAGTTTTTTGCTATAGGGCACATGCACTTGCCAGAAAGAGAGAGAGACAGAAAGCGAGAAATCACCCCCGGGGGGGGATGGCTGTACCACAATCCCTTCTCCATTCTCCTCTCGGGATCTTGGGCACACATGCACATCCATCCAGCATGAGTTTAAGCCACCGGGTCTGGGACTTGAACCGCGGTCGACTACATGGGAGTCCAGCAACATAGCCATTATGCCAACTGCTGGTCCCAAGATTTAATAGGCCTGAGTTCTGGGGGGGAAAAAATAGTGAAGGGATAGGAGGGAAAAAGTCACCTATGGTTAAAAAAAAAAAAAAAACATAAAACACAAGCATCATCCCTTTCTGTTGTCCAGTTGGTTTATGGTGGCTAAGTTTACAGTTTGCATGTATAAAAACACCTTTCTTCTGAAGCCTCAGGGTGCTTTCATATTCCTTTTCATTTTTTAACCAACATCCTACGGACGGGATTTTCTCCTCTCTCCCTAACCCCTTCATTATTCCACTTTCACTAAAAATCTGTGAAAATCCTAGAACTGTCTTAATATTTATAAATTATAGTATTAATTCAGGGCAGGGCTGGAGGTCTGTGAACTGAAGGAAATTAATAGAACAATACTGAGATTTAGAGAAGGGGAAAGCAGTGCCAGTCTCTCCTCGGCTGAGGTTGGCCGGCTAGTCTGGGGAGGGGAGGATTTCTGATTGGTTTACATTTTGGTGACTTCGAGTTTAAGAAGATGCCATCCTCAAAGCCTCAGGTCTAGTGAGTCATGCAGTGCAGAGAAGTGGGAGCTAGAACTTCAGCTGCCTTTCATGCAGTCAGTCGAATTGCCTTTCTGAAACTACCCCATATTGCTATTTGTGAAGTTGAGACATCTGGTTTGAAAAGTACATTTATAAATGGAAAAAATAAAAAATCAGTCCCTTGCTAACGCTGTTTTTCTTTTCTTTTTTTTTTTTTTTCCTTTTTTGTCTCCTTTCTCTAGCATGAAAGACTTTCTAGGTAAGCACTCTCCCTGTTTTATATGCATGCTTAATACTTGTGAGTGAATGCATGTCTAATTGAATTTAGCTTTATTTAATAGGCTAATAGTGTTTCTTACATCTTTTCCTTCCTTTTCACTTCCACAATCATAATAATTCAGAATTTTAGGTACTCCTACCCAAAGTAATGGGACAGCTTTTCAGCTCGCCTTGCTGCCTTCACATTCTCTTCATCCCAGTTCATCTTGTAAACTTCCACTAGATGGGTTTTCCTGAAGCAGCAGGGTACCACGCACCAGGTGCTCGGGAACAACTGGAACAGGACACTGCCCTCACCTGCAGTTAGCTTACAGACCGCTGAGGAGACAGACCATTTTAGCAGGTAGTAAGCGCCAATCAGACGTACGGACAGGTATTATGAGCACAGAGAGAAGAGGCGGTTAACCTAATTGGTGATTCAGGGAAGGCCTCTTTGCAGAATCGAAACCTGAATTGAGACTGAGGTTCGATTCTGTCATTCGATAGTAGATCTAACAAATACCAACCCTAGACAGTGCAGTGAACTCAACTCATGAATTGCATGTCTTACAACTGCTAAAAATTTAAGGAAGGACATCAGGGTTTGAGGAAATAACCCTTTAATTTTTCACCTAGTATCTTAGGGTTTAAAACTGATCTTCCTGAAGAAGAAAATAAATTTTTTTAAAAAATAGAAACTATGAGGACAGAAGTTTGAATCTCTCCTTTTTCACTGTTCCTCTGATGGAGAGATTAAGAAGAAAGTGGGTAAAAATATATTAGTTTTAGGATAGTATATGACAAATGATTAATAATTTGGTGATTGAGCTGGTTCCACCTGATTAATATATCGTAAAATTTAGGAGTATACTTCCTCTGCTTACCCTCTCGCCAGGCACCACCTAAGGATAAATAATTTACTTCTAACCTAGCAGAAAATTGCTTAGTTTTGCAAAATTGGTGGAGAACGCTATTCTGGTGTAATCTTTTGTGAAGCCCTGTTATGTTATAATGGGAGGCTTTCCCTATACACTTAAAAATCAGTGATTCAAAAGTGTGCTACCGTGTCAAGAATAAGGTCATCCACAGCGCCAGGAAAGTCATGTGTTGAAGGTGACCTTCCACCACATGGGTAAAGGATTCTGACCCAGTGTTCATTAGGACAATTGTCTGTTGAGGAAAGCACATCCTTCCCTTAAGCCTAGCCAAAATAAAAAAGTAAATCAAATTTTAAAAAACTTTAGATTCTGGGAACCAGCAGTTAGCGTAATGGCTATGTCGCTGGACTCCCACGTAGTCGACCGCGGTTTGTGTCCCGGACCCGGTGACTTAAAACTCACGCCGGGCGCGTGTGCGTGCGTGCCCAAGATCCCGAGAGGAGAATGGAGGAGAAGGGATTGCGGCGTGACCATCCCCCCTGGGGGGTGATTTCTCGCTTTCTGTCTCTATGTCTCTCTCTGTCTGTCTGGCGAGCGCACGCGCCCTACAATGAAAATCTCTCCAAAAAAAAAAACTTTAGATTTTTTAAAATAAACACAGATGGATTCAGATGGATTGAAGTTTTTAAGAGAAAAGGTGTTGCCACAGAAGTTATAATATTTACACAGGAAAGACTTTCCTTAGCATGATACCATAAAAGTTGTCAACTTTAATCACAGAATATTCTAACTCTCTGCTAGTAAAAACATTATAAACACTAAAAACAGAGACAAAAAATAAAAAAGAGAAAAAAATATTTGCAGCCTGTTAGACAGTTTTAAAAGCTCTGCTATGTCAGAGGCTTCCCCAGTATAACAAAAAAACTAAACAAAGTTCCACTTCTTATATAGACTTACACTGTTACACTTCCCCAGAATAACAAGATTACAGGAGCCAGCAGGTGGCGTGGAAGTTAAGGCACTGGATCCCAGGTTAAAGTTTCGCACCCAGTGGGTGATTTAGGTACATGGCCAAGATCCCAAGAGGAGGATGAAGGAGAAGGGATTATGGTGTAGCCATTCCCCCTGGGGGTGATCTCTCACATTCCCTCACTGTCTCTAGCAAGCACACGTGCCCTATAGCAAAAACTAAAAAAAAAAAAAAAAAAAAAGACTATCAAACTAAGGCTACAAATTGGTCATTTAAAAACAAAGATAACTAACCAAAGATATCAAAACTCCCTAATAATTTTAACTATTTAACTTAATAAGATATTCTGTTTCTCCTATTGTACTGGAAAGGGTTAAGCCTCAGTGGAGGACAGTAAGGCTGTGCACATGAGCCCCCACACTCCTGTGTCTGCATATAAGCACTCAAGATACATTTAGCCCTGGACCAAAAAGTTACACTTAGAAGATGTATCCTAAGAAAATAATTGCACAGATGCACCAGAACTTATTGCCAAGTCTGCTCACTGCAGCATTGTTTACAGTGGCTAAACAATTTCATAAAAATGTGTTTATTAATAGATGATTAAATAAATTACCATACAATCATGCATGGGTTTCTGTTTTTTATTTTAATGAGGCAATTTTATTTTTACTTAAATGATAAGATGTCCACAATCACAGTGCTATGTCTAGGGAAGAAGAGAAGCTAGACAATAGTATGTATTATCTGATTGTATTGATTGGAATATGTGTGAGAGTATATTTGTGTGTTTTGACAACCTGCAAGGGTACAAACTGAACTGTTAGTAGTGGTTTTGGGGACAGGATTATGGGGTAACTTTCACTTTCTAGTTTAGACACTCTGTAGTCACTTTTTTACAGGAGTGTATAGCTTTTGTAATCAGGAAAGTCAATAAAGAGATTTCTATTAACAAAAAAAAAAGAATGTAGTAAAGAAGATGAGACTCAGATCTCCATGAAAGGAAAATCGCCGTTAGTGTATTAGCTCATTTCTTTGCCCACCCACCCCCCACCGTCATCCTGATTGCTCCACTGCTGCTTCCAGTACTCACTTCCGCTCCCCCCACCCCCACTGTGGCACTCGCTCCCACAGGACAGAGACACTAGACGCGAGTGCCACAGCTGTGACTCCTCAAACCAGCCTAGCTGGGGGATGGAAATCTCCGCATGACTGGTTTGCCCATAGCAGTTTCCCACGTGCAGTGTTTTAGTTTGGAAAGAGCCAAGTCCAAGAAGAGCCCAGTGTTGAGCATGGTAGTTTTACACTTACACAGGTAATCAGCTAAGACACCCTTCCCCTGATGAATTTACCAGTACTGGCCAGCTCCGAGAGCTGAATTGCTACAAAGCGTCGAAATCCTAATCGTGGGCACTCAGCCTTCATGTGGAGGACTGAGGGCAGAGGCCAGCTCTTCGGGCACTGTGATGGTACCCCTGCAGAGTTTGGGATGCCAGCAAACCTGTACTGCTCCTGGGAAGCACACGCGCCAAGCCCAGTTGCCATTCCACCCCCATGCGACCTCCGGCCCAGATCGCCAAGTCCATATGTTTCTGATTCATTGACAGTTCACTATAATCATTTTCCAGCAGCCGTTGAGATCCAAGAAACTTGCTTTCAAAAGCACACCCTTGAGGGAGGCTGTCCAACCCTAAATTAATTTGAAAAGCTGTAAGATTTAAGGCAGCACATAGGGCCAAACCACCGATATTTCAAGTAAGCTCCATTCTTGGCGAATGATGGCCTCCCCCTCCAAGCTGGTGCAGTTTAGCCCTGAGGCCTGGGATGCTGGCTGAGAGGGGCCAGGAAGG